CTTTTTTTTTTTTTTTTTTTTTTTGCCCCCTTGGCCTTTACAGGCTCAGAACAGCCCGGCAGACCTGGCAGTCATGGTTATGTTCGCTCCCCGTCCCCTTCAGTGAGAGCGCAGGAGACCATATTGCAGCAAAGACCCAGTGTTTTCCAGGGAACCAATGGAACCAGTGTAATCACACCCTTGGATCCAAGTGCCCAGCTACGTATCATGTAAGTCTCATATATATACATTTTGTCCAAAAAAAAAATCCGTTTCATGCATACAGTTTTAAATTTGTGACTGTAGTAGTATAGGAATGGCTTTCTACCTGCTCACCTTTTTTTTTTTTTTTGCAGTTTGTACTTTCATCTCCTTCCATTCCTTCAATCCTATCCCAATAAAGAATCTCCCCTTCACAGAGTTGTGATTTGGTTTTATTTACAGGCCGTTGCCTGCTGGGGGCCCCTCAATAAGTCAAGGCCTACCAGCCTCCCGTTACAACACTGCTGCGGACGCCCTGGCTGCTCTCGTGGATGCTGCAGCTTCTGCCCCCCAGATGGATGTTTCCAAAACAAAAGAGAGTAAGCATGAAGCTGCCAGGTTAGAAGAAAATTTGAGAAGCAGGTCAGCAGCAGTTAGTGAACAACAGCAGCTAGAGCAGAAAACCATGGAGGTGGACAAGAGATCTGTTCAGTGTCTGTACACTTCTTCAGCCTTTCCAAGTGGCAAGCCCCAGCCTCATTCTTCAGTAGTTTATTCTGAGGCTGGGAAAGATAAAGGGCCTCCTCCAAAATCCAGATATGAGGAAGAGCTAAGGACCCGAGGGAAGACTACCATTACAGCAGCTAACTTCATAGACGTGATCATCACCCGGCAAATTGCCTCGGACAAGGATGCAAGGGAACGTGGCTCTCAAAGTTCAGACTCTTCTAGTAGCTGTATGTATCTCAATCTGAGTTTCGCAATGTGATATCCGAGTAAAGAATTACTTTATTCTTTAGGTAAAGCAGAACTATATGGTATTAAAAAAATCCTAATCATGTTAGTAAATGTTAATAGAAGAGAATTTGTGGGTTAAAAGTATAAAAAATGTTTTAGTTTTATGATTATTGAAATAAGTTTATCTGTCAATGTATTATCCATGAGAAAACTATGTCCTTTATAGGGTTAAAGTTGGAAAGCAAATAGAGGACATGGCTCTTTAACATTTTCAGGCTCTTGACTGTGACAGAAGCATCAAGCTTCTGATTTCTCAGAAAGTATTTTCTGATATGTGGTTCAGTATTTAGATGGTTGCCCCATCTAAATGTTCTTACATTCTTTTTCTAAAATACAATTTTTTTGAAAGTGAGACCACTATTACTGGTCATTTGTTATTGTATTGCACTGTATAAATTGGATTTTAATCAAGTCTGGTCAGTAACTATGACATCTATACAGTGTAAATGCCACAAAATTTATTTTTAATTACTGCTTAGTTCTGTGTAGTATTCCCAAATAAATAGGTTTTCCACTAATATCTGAAATAATTTAATCATATGTCGTCATCTCTGTTGTTTTCATTAATGGAATTGATTAACTACAAAAAAAAAATGATTTCTTGTCCAGTCAGCCTGCAACATGCATTTTTTTTAACCCCAAGCATCCACATGCCTAACTGTAATTGTTTGGGTAAAAACCTGAGGAGTTTTGAAGAGGAGGCAGCTTATGATGTGTAGACAAGAAGACTTAAATTTAGCCTGGGTTAGGAAAATCCTTGAAATATGTATTATGCACTAGGAGAATTTCTAGCTGAGAAAGGTCATATTTATATGAATAGGCCTTTGAAGGGAAGTTACCAGCATACCTGCTTAGCCAGTCTGTAGCTTCCTGAATGTTGTAGCACAATTCCCCTAACCAATAGATACCACTTTAGGTTGCTTAACAAGCTAAAACCTTGCTCTAGGAATTCACTTTCAGAAGATCTTAAGATAGAAAGCCTATTTTTTTTGAGTGTTCATGTTTCTGAATGTGGTTCTTTTTTATCACTTAGTAAATTACATGTATGAGGCCCAATGGATATTGATGATTATTCAGTGTGGTTTTCACCTTCTCCATAGGATTGATTTCAAGAGGATTGTGAACACAGGCCAACATTAGACTTTCTATTGATTGTGTGTTGAACATAACAGGCAGATTTAGGATGTTGGATATATGAAATGACACAAAATATGTACAAGTGGGTACAAAAGTAGCAAATTAGCTTGTTTCTTTGAATATAGGTTTTAGTTAGTGGTTTTATTTGCCCCCCCCCCCAAGATTTCCACCCCAATTATCAGATTTCTGTCTTCCTGAGTGTAAGAGAATCCAAGAACTGCTAGCTCCATAACTGATGGATGGTAGGAAGAAAGTCTGTTCAGTTAAGTTCCAAAGTGGTTGTTGGGAACACTTGGTCCCACCTTCTATACTTGTGTTCAGAATCTATCAACTTAACACAATTGCTGATCTAGCCAGTGTTGTATACTCTGTAGACCATGAGTTTTCTCATATTCTTTGATGCAGCTTGTAAATGCAAAGGGCACCTAAAAGTCAGAAGGTTCTTGAGCAGGTTATGTCTGCCTCTCTCCCATTTTCAGTACCGAAGCCAGCATAGGATTAGCAAAAGCTGCCTGTTACCCCTACTATTAGACCCTCAGTTTCCTTGTGCAACCTCCTTTTCTGCCAGTAGAATGAGTTTGCTTCCCTTATCCATTTCTTAACATTTGTTTATTTTCATAATGTAGCATGGTACTAAAAATAACTTTTGTCAGCAATTTTTTCGAGAAAATCAGTATAAATGTTGCTTAATGTATATATACAGCTTTAAGGTCATCTTGGTAGTGAAGCACTCAAAACTTTTTCTATAAGCTGACTCCCCCAGAATTGAAATTTTTGGAAATAATGAACTGCTGAAATTTACTCGTTTGCTTAAATTTCTCCTAATAAGACTTGCCTGGTGATTTTCTTTTCCAGCTCCTAGGAGAATGTCATAAAGTCATACTCTATTCTGTCTTATCAAAAGGTCATAGAACCCCCAAATTTCTAGAAACTATATCCTATTGTAATTAGGAATACAGAGGAAGTACCTGTGGCCTTTTGATATATCCATTGAACTTAACTCATTTTTATTAACCTGGTACCATTCATACTTCTGAGACTAAAAAATGAAAACATGCAAATAAGTTTGAAGATCTTGGCCTTTTGAAACTTTTCATAGGATTAATTTTAAGATTAAACTCTTTTCTTTTCTTAAAGTATCTTCTCATCGGTATGAAACAACTGGTGATGCAATTGAGGTGATAAGCCCTGCCAGTTCACCTGCACCACCGCCTCAGGAAAAACTACAGGCCTATCAACCAGAAGTTGTTAAAGCAAATCAAGCAGAAAGTACGTCTTCTTAGCTAGTTTACAAGTTTTTGTAATACCATTTATGTTTCCGGTTCTCTGTCCAGACTGTATTAAATAATTAACTTGTTTTCTTGTTTTATTTTAGAACAGCCCTATGAGTCTGCTTTAGAAACATGTAAAACTATACCAATGAAAAACTACTTCTAAGCTGCTATTTACTTTAGTTTTTAATGATGCAGAAAATTGATAGAATTTTGTTGTCACCTTATTATACATTTTATTCTGTATTAGCACATTTTTATCAGTGAATAAGTATCAGTGAATAAGACAGATGAATCCCATATTTAAGAGATACATAACTACATCCCTTTCATGTGTCTCCTGAATGATATGTAATCTTTAATGAATGACAGGTGGGGGTCATGACAGGTGGGGGTCATCCCTGGAGGAGGTATTTATTTACCTGTTGTCTTCTAGGTGATGCCTCCAGACAGTATGAAGGCCCATTGCATCACTATCGACCGCAGCAGGAATCTCCATCTCCCCAACAGCAGCTCCCGCCATCATCCCAGGCAGAGGGGGTTCCCAGAACCCATCGACTCATCACACTTGCTGATCACATCTGTGTATGTTTTTTATTCTTAATTTTTTCTTTTCTTGATCATGCAGAACCCACACTTCATAGAGTCACAAAAAAAGACATCTAGATGTTTTTCATGCTTCATTTTTCCAAGTACTCAGTGGACTTAACCAGCTTTCTCTCATTCACAGCAAATTATCACACAAGATTTTGCTAGAAATCAAGTATCCTCACAGCCTCTCCAGCAGCCTCCCACTTCTACATTCCAGAATTCACCATCTGCTTTGGTGTCTACACCCGTGAGGACTAAAACATCAAATCGTTATAGCCCAGAATCTCAGTCACCATCTGTCCACCATCAAAGACCAGGTTCAAGAGTCTCTCCAGAAAATCTTGACAAATCGAGGGGAAGGTATGGTCTTGCTTTCACACCGTATGTTGATACCCCAATGGTAAAACAATCTGAATTTATGTGTAAGATAGGGTATTAATTTTTTCTACCTTGATTTTATTTGCCACCATTTTCTGGAAAGCATATATTCCTCTGCATACTATTCATTTCTCTGTGTTTTATTCTTGGAATGTCCACTTTCTGAGCATTCATTAATGTGTATTCAAATTTGGTTACTATATTCTCTTTGTGGGTTTTCATAGATGGAAAAAAATGTAGAATTTGGTATAAAGACATGTTGAGTAGTTAATCATAATCATAAAAATGTCTTTCCCTTTCATTGGTTTCTGTTGGATCACCAACACTAGATGCTTAGGGAAGTAATATTAAATAGTAAAGTGAGACTGTTGTAACAGAGGCAGCACAAGAAGAAACCTTCTCTGTGGCAGGACATTTGGTAAATATTTCTTACCTAATGTTCTTAGTATGTATTTTATAAAATGGAGGCAGGGTTTTTGGTTCAAGGTGGTAGACTAAGCACCAGCAGCACATATAGTAAAGCAGCACAAACATTCATAAAATTTATTAAAATACTGAGAGAAGACCATGATACTGGCTGGTCAAAGATTTTGGCAAATACCTGAAGACGCAATGGATGGATGAAGCAGAGTAGGGGAAACCATCGTTCAGGGCATGAAACAGAGAAGCCGTAGGTTCTCTACCTACTGACTCCTCAAAGTTAACAAACTGAAGCCAGGTGTTAATATAAGAAGCTGCATGTTTATCATTTAAAAAAAACAAAACTTTAGTTATGTATTTTTCAAATGTTTATAGAAGTAGAGAGAACAGTAATCTGCATCATGACCACCACAGGCGCACAGCCAGTTTTGATTTTTATCCCCATTGTCCCATCCCTAAACTGGATTTTCTGAAGACTGTTAGACATAACCAATTCAAGCAGCTAGATGCTCTAAAAAAAATAAGATGAAACATGTTTATTATTTTGATGAAAATAGAAATTCAATTATCAGAGCAGTACAGAAAGTTGGACAGCAGAGTCACGGTCCATTCCTAACACAAGGTACTGTTTAACAGATTCTAGCAGACAGAAATTGCTGTCACTTGTACTACATTTGTGCATTAAGTGAAGAATACTGCATGTCTTTCATTGGTTTTGAACAAGTTTAAAGTGTTATTTCTCAGTCTGAAAAAACAAGTAGTTCTTTAATTCTAGAACAGAATGTAAATGTTATAAATCATAAAATGGTTAACACATATTGGGATGGAGCAAGGAAGGAAAAAAGGGTATATATGCTAATTTCATTTTATTTTTAATTAAAAGTGAAATATGTAAAGCTAAAATAGACAAACTAAAGAATAATATTAAGTAATGTTTCTTCATCTGTCATGGAAGGAGTTGCTGTTAAAACAGTTTGATAAGTCAAACAGTCTTAGAGGTAACACCAGAGAACTAAAAGAAACATAGCCACCTAAAATTGGATGGTGTTGACTAGGAAAGAAAATATATACCCCCATATGTTTATGTATAGTAATAGTAATGAAAGCAAATATTTAAGTTTGCAGGGTGGCCCTTAAAGGGTATATAGTTGCTAAATCAAAAACTTTTGGCCTAATGTGCTTATCTTACATTATCCTTACCAAGATACTAAAATGCTAAATTGCAGAGAACTGCTCAATCCTAAAATGGTATATAACTCAAGCCTACTTTTACTCGCCTGATAAGCTCCTCAGGTTTCAGTTTAGCACTCAAGTCCTTTATTTATAACTTAGTGGGGGAAACTTGGTAAGTCATGACACAAACTCAGCATTAAAATCCTAAGGTTCACAAGAGTAGCTGGCAGTGGTAAGAGGGGGGGATATGATGCCAGAGCACACAATGACCTTTTGATGGAAGCTTAACTGCTGCCTGGCTCAGTGAGCTATCTGTGATGAGGTTCCTGGACCTGCTTGGCATACATAAATGAAACAATTAACGATATTTTTTGATAACAACTGGGCATATTGTGAATACCGGAGGCAACTTCTTTCTGATCTTAATTTACAACTTTTGACTCCTCCAGAATGAAGTAATGATTTAGCCAATTTCTGTTTAGGGTAATTTACAAATGAACCCTAAGAGCACAAACTAATATTTTGTGTGTGTAACATTAGGCCTGGAAAATCCCCTGAGAGGAGTCATGTGTCTTCAGAGCCCTACGAGCCCATATCCCCACCCCAAGTACCAGTTGTGCATGAAAAACAGGACAGCATGCTGCTACTGTCTCAGAGAGGAACAGAGGCTGCAGAACAGAGGTGAGGAGTGAGGTTCCCCACCCACCATACAGTTCCATTTGTGTGTGTTCATTGCCTTTCAGTTTTTCTTAATTCAGTCCCTTTTTTCTCCTTTAGGTTAATCTCAGAATAGGAATCCACAGGAATCATTTAGTCTGTTTTCTTAGTGATTAAATGCTAGTAGAAAGTAAAAAAAAAGACACACAACAAAAAAACTGTAACCTTTAAATCGGTTAAAAAAAGTTCATCACTCTTGAAATTAATTCTTTCTAGATATTAGTTAAAAAAATTTTTTTATTGGTGTGGACCTATCAATTTGCTATGTACTAGAAATTAATGGCCTGTATATGGAAAGCAAGTAATGAACACCTGTGCTGAACTATTCCACATATTTTTTTGTTTCTAACCTTGTGCATCACTAGATTTTTATCCCTACTTGATTAGATGCCTTTGGTTTAGTCTTCTTCCAGTCTACTTCCACCAGTGATTTGTCCAGAATTCATACAGGATCAGACACTGTCAGTAGCATGGCATTTGTATTCCTTCATGACCAGATTGATACAACTCATCTTCACTTTCTGCAACTTCACCCTCACAGTTTAATGTTTGCCCTTAACAATTATTGTTCCCTAAACTCCTTTCATACATACTCATGCTATTTTCTTGATGTGGAACACCTTCCTTTCATATTCTGAGAGGTGAATGCATCATTTGACCCATAGCCATGCTGATACTAGATAGTCCAATTTTAAACCAAGATATATCTCACTACACACTGTTAGTGCATGTCTTAGTAAGTTTTAAGTTATTTACTTATTGTATATATTCATAACAAAATAGATGTTGGTACTTACAGTGAAATTAAGAGGAAAATCCTTATTTGGGGAGGGAGTGATGTTAAATTACACATTTGCGTGTTTTCCACTAAATTCTTAGTTTTGGGGGGTTTTTGAGGACACCAAGGGGTCTTACTCATTTTTCTGTCACTTTGGTTTTCTTGTCATATAGTAGGTATACTCATTTGAATTATGAATGAATCCACATGGCCAGATTAAGCTATTGAGTTCCATGTGTATATCATCATCTCTAGCTCTAGCTAGATTCTCAATGGTCTTGAGGAAGCTTTAAGTTTTTCTGTTTTCATTTCATTTCATGCATCATACCTATTTTGTTTAAGTCCAGTTGTTTTGATGCAAACATATAGATCTTGCTATTTTATAGCATTTAAGCTGCTAGCATTTTATTGTACTTCAAAGTAATTCTCCCAAATAGTTCCCACTTTATTTGGTAATCATAGTTCCATCAGCACTTGTGCTCTTAAACAGCCAACATTAGGGTAACTGAGTCTTCCCACTAATGTCCATTTGCTGCTATTCATTCCTTGTTAAGAATCTGCTTTCAATTATCTCCATTCCAGCCCTAATATTAAGATTCCAGCTTGAGTGCCCTCAAATGACACATTAACCAGCTTCTGGTCATGTATCATTCTGTAGGGTTATAATCAGGATAGTTTTCTAGATAGTTTGACTTTATTACAATTGACAGAGTCAGAAGTACATGGTGATAACAGATATCAATGTTTCCTAACAGAAATGATTCCCGGTCACCAGGGAGTATAAGCTACTTGCCTTCATTCTTCACCAAGCTTGAAAACACATCACCCATGGTTAAATCAAAGAAGCAGGAGATTTTTCGTAAGTTGAACTCTTCTGGTGGAGGTGACTCTGATATGGGTAAGTGGGATTTCCTTCAGCCCAAATAAAACATGCATTACTAATGGTATCTCCAGTGTTACCTGTCACGGAAGCCTTGAGTTTAAAGGCTTCTATAAACATCTATACAATCATATCGAGTTCCTTCTCAAATACCTTTAGTACATGAAGGCTTCCTAATTAGAGGGGGAATCTGCTCCTTGCTGAAGCTGTCCATTTCTCTTCGAACAAAATCTGGGTTTAGGAAAATTTTATCTTATGTGTAAGAAAAACAGTTTTACTTGTTTTAGCTTTATTGATTTGGGCTCTCTCTTCATGAGCTCTCTAAGTACTTGAAGACGACGGTCATATGTTTGAAGTTTATTGTCTCTGTAAATGTCATATTTGATCAGTTTTGCATCACATGGCAGATGAACTGCCATCCCAATCGCTTTCCATTAAACACATTTATTTTAACCTGTTGGTAGGTTCTTAGTAGTAGTCAGATCTGTCACCCTACAGGAGTCTAAGGTATTAGAATTTATTTTTGAACCTACACTGGCATAGAGCTATGCCATAGTGCACTTATTAGTAAGACTGTCCATGCCATGGTCTCCTCATGTGCTGCCCTTGACCTGTACCTTTACATTCTGTACTTTGTAATTACTGGTTCCAGGTGGAGGATAGGTAGTCTGTGTGTGTACCATTACAACTAATTTTCCTACACTTATCTTTCTGGGTATTAGTTCAGACATTCAAAATTTAAGTGCAAATTTGATAAACCCACTATCTAAAAATGTATCATTAGTCATGGTAGCAGACAGTTATATGTAGCCCTTATTATTCCAAGCATACACACACAAACCCATAAATCTCCGCAACAGCCTTGCATACTACATATCATATTCTCTCGAATTTGCAGATGATGCAGCTGAGATTCAGAGGTTTAATAATTGGTGCAAATTACATAACTAGTTAAGTAATGTGTCTCAAGCTCCACAGTCCACGCCTCTGATGACATACTGATTTTTAATATTTCTGTACTCAGTGTCACTACCCAGATTACTGGTAAATATACAGTAAGATAAGAGCTCTCTGACATCTCCGCCTTCCCTATTGTTCAATAATCACACTTAATGAACCTTTCTCACACTCTGTTGATCAGCACACTCACTCTTATTAACACCTGCTCTTTACTCCTGCATCTTTCCTTCAACTATCCATTGACAGAGACTTTGCTGGCTGCTTGCAGAAAACTGGGACTCCACAGTCTACTTTATTTCTGTGATCTATGGGGTACTAGTCACCTGATCCTGTCAAAAGAAAGTAAATTATCGGTTATGAACTCAAACTGCCAGGCGGCTGTGTCTCTGGATTGGGGACACTTTGTGATTAATAAATGTTGAACAGCAAGGGAATTAAAAAGATGAGCCCGTCGTCATTTATGGTTTGTGAACCATAGCTCTGAATTACTAGATTATGTTTTTAAGTGGCAACAGATCTGAATTACTAGATTATCTTTTTAAGTGGCAACAGATCAGCTAAAATATAAATATTAGAATGCTGACCAAAACTGCTATCAGGCTTACACACATCCTTGCTGCTTCTTTTTAAAAATGTTATATACTGTTTTCTGTTTCCAGTCTTCAATGCTTTTGTTATTTAGATGTTACCAACAAAAACTTAGATGTTACCCACAAAAATAAGGTTCTCATTTTCAGATTCTCTTAGAATTCAGAGATGAATCTGTCAGAACAGAGAGACGCAGATTTTAGAGCAGCCTGTCTTTTAAGAATTGTTTCGCCTTGTATATGTTTGTACTCATCTAGTCTTTGTTTGGCCTTTTTAGGAGAAAATTTTTTGACAGGAAAATGTCACATGAGAATTTAAGAAGTCAACTTTATAGTTTTCTTCTTATAACTAATGGGAAGTAAAGAACTTCAATTGTTCTTACACAGTATTCATTAGTTAGAAAACCCATTAATTGAGGAATTTATTAAATATTTAATGGACTCAGTAATTTCTTCATCAGAGTATTATGTCTGGTGCTTTTATTATTATAGATGGCCTCGCTCTCTGAAAGGGCATACTATATGAAACATTTCTAACTTTAACAGAAGGTGCTTTAAGGCAAATGTTAACAATTTGGGACTTTATGAGAATGCCTCTTTATTGAAGAAAGGAACAATTAAGGAACTGTACTAAGGAATCAGTGGGCTCTGGGATCCCATTCAAACCTCACTGGGAGGTAGAACTGAGAAAGCCATCAGAAAACCAGGGTAGCTTGGCTTCACCTCAGTGTTTCCACCAAGGAGATCACTGTCTTTATCATTCAAAACCTTAATTCTTTAAAAAGTACTTTCTTTGATTTTCCTATAGTCATTGACACTAGTGGGCCACTCCCATCTTCCAGGAACACTTTATTCCTAAGCTTTTGGGGTAGGAATTCTCCCTGTTTGTCACTCTTTAGCCATTTCTTGTTGCCTTGGAACCTCAGTCTTGCTTTGCTTATTAGACCCTCAATGTTGGTTTTCCCTAAAGATTTCTTTCCAGCCCATTTCATTTCATGCACTGTAATAATCTGAGTCATCTCATCCACTCTGGAGGTTTAAACTGCTGAAAACTCTTGTATTTCTATCTGTATCTGGAGTTCAACTTTTCTAATAAACTCCACTTACCTATCTTTGCAGATGTCCTTCCTTCTTGACTGTCATACTGGCTCTTAAAATGTCTACAGTGAAACAGTCTGTGCCTACACATCTTCTTTCCTACATTCACATTTACCTTGGCCCCACTAGTCACTTTCTTGGCAGCCCTCCCTCTTCCGCATCATCTCCTGATGGCACTGCTCCTGCTCCAAGTCTGCCTCAGTAGGTGCCAGATACCTGTCTCCTTTTTCCTCATTTCTAAATATCTTGCTCTTAAGTTTGCCTTTCTGTTTGTTTTAAGCCAGGGGTCCTTAAACTTCAGTATGCATCACTGTCACCATAGGCCCACATGAGTTAAGAAGTTGATGTCTATTAAGCTACCCAGCTGATTCTAATTTGAGATCCCAGAAAGTACCACACTGAACTCTGTAAACATCATGGGTAAAGAAAGCAGAACATTTTAAGTACAGTTATCTTAGCACTGTCCTGGTTAAATTGTATGAAAAACTGTCTTCATCTGACTGCTTTCAATCACTATGATTTTATTATGATTCACCCAAATAACTGCTTACATATTTGTGAAATAAATGAGTCCTATTTCACAAACTATAAAGGTATTTTTATGCTTTGTGTTATTCCAGTGTAGTTTTATTTCAGTTTAGTTTATCATTGGAAGTACCTGATGTGCAAAGAGACCAAGATCCACAGTCACTATTTTATAGCTTCCTCTCTTGGAAGTTTTAAAGTTTAAACTTGCCATCAGTTTAAAATCTTCCTAATGGAGAGCATTTGTAGGCACCTGTGCCCCCATTTTTACAGTTAGGTCTCATCCCTAGGTAAGTCCATCCTTCTGCAGTTAACACCCAAAACGCCACATTCCCTGGGGGTACGTACTTAATTCCTATATTCTTCTTTCTCTTTAAAATTCTCATCAAGTTGGAAGAAGTGATGAAAACACCACTGTCTCTAAATTCCTTCTATTTCTGGCACAATGCTTTCTAGATAGTTTGTATGTTTTCCCAAGTGTTGTCACTACACTGTAAATTACAACTTAAGTTAGCAGGAATGAAAAGAATGAAGAAGCCTTTGTCTCATCCTGTAGCAACGTCAGAGTAGATTACATTTAACCATGGCAGGACAGTACACGGTCATTTTGTACTATGCATACAAGTATCATTCCCTGGATCTAATTTCAGGCTGCCTCCAGCTTTGGTGATTTCAGGGTTCATCTTAGAAACCAGGTTTCCCTTTTATTTTTTTTTTAGCAAGCATGAATTCTTGTTCTGAGAGCAACTTTCTCCTGTTTGCGTTTCTCAAGCAATGCATTCTTACCCTCCTGAGTTCTATTTCTCTTGTTCTGATTTTCCTACGTCACCTAATCTTTTATTTTCTAAAATTGTCTTTCATTTTATCTTCACCTCAAGGGGGGGAAAATAAGGTTGAGATAGTGAAAATGCTATATTTACTACAGGATATTTTTTGAGACTCTATTTTGATGCGTACATGATTATCACATCTCAGTTAATGTGAATGTTTGTTTTAATACAGCAGCTGCCCAGCCAGGAACTGAGATCTTTAATCTGCCAGCAGTTACTACCTCAGGTAACATTCAAAATACATTATTGACCAAAAAGAAATTGGTACAGTAGCAGTCATTCCAGCAAGTATGTATTGAGTATGTACTGACTGTATGTTAGGTGACTACTCCAGTAGGTAAAAGGGTTTAAAAAGTTCATCATTTAGCCAGGGAAAAGATAATAGTAGCAAAAAATGAATTGGTATTCCATACTTGTTGGAAAGCTAAGCAAAAAATATCAAAACTGTCAAAGAGCTGAATAAAACTAGGGAAGTGGAAAGAACTGAGTAACACAAGTGGATGATGGATTCATTTAGCCAAAAAAGTTCTGAGTTGCTATTGGTAGACCTAAGGTTGCCTCTGTGAAAGCTCTTAATACAGTTTCAGGTGACTTGCCAGGTGCTATGTGTATTCAGTAAGTAGCCTAAGGCCGACATGTAGTCTGTGCATCTGTTTCCTGACAGAAATAAGCAGAAATGCTGTGGTTTTCTCTTTCAGGCTCAGTTAGCTCTAGAGGTCATTCTTTTGCTGATCCTGCCAGTAATCTCGGTCTAGAAGACATTATCAGAAAGGCTCTCATGGGAAACTTTGATGACAAAGTTGAGGATCATGGAGTTGTTATGTCCCAACCTGTAGGAGTAGTGCCTGGTGGTGCCAACACTTCGGTTGTGACCAGTAGTGAGACCAGGAGAGAGGAAGGGGACCCATCACCTCATTCAGGTAAAGTTTTCTATTTTAGTGCCCTTCTGTTGCCTTTCTGAAGAAAAAACTAGTTTGTTTCCCAAGTTCTAATGCATCAGTAAGAGATTTCACTTAAAAGACTTTTATGCTGAAAGTCACATCTGAAGACTTTAGTAAGAGTTGTACTCATAATGTCATCTTCCAGCTATCATTTTTTTTTGTTTGCATCATCTTTATCTCTAGTCATATACTGTAACAAAAGTACAATCTCATGTTCTACTTCAGAATGAAAGTGACCTATTATTCTATTATAAAAAATGACAGGCTAAGTGTAGAATTAGAAAACAAAAGCCCTTATGACCACATCATCAGAAAGCTGATAAAATACACATCATTTCAAATATGTCTGTCAGACACAGGTAAAAACAGAGTAGAATGAGATTATTTCATACGTCCATTAAAGGTAAACACCAAGGTCCATGACACCAAGCTTTTCATGTGTGTATATATAGTTTTTTCTTATTCTTTTACTAGTATCTCAGCTTTTTTTTTTTTTTTTTTCTGTAATCACCAAGCAAAATATCTCACTGGGTTATAAATGAGATTAGAGGTCTTTATGTATTTTTTTACATACATTTCCTGATCTCAAACATGTCACTGCCTTCCCCTTTCTACATTAACCTGTTGGCTTTCATTATTATGTGTATATTTTAAGTTTATAATGTTGATGACTATTAGGAAATTACAGTTATCCTGGTTGTATAATCTACTTATTATAGCATCTTTTTAGGTAAGGTTTTCTTACTGCATTTGCCTAAATAGGGTATCATATTTTGAAATCCTTCATGCATGAGAAAGTCTTGCTGCCTTTAGATTTGAAGCATGAGCCTGGCAAGTTGTCATATTCTTAAAACCTGTTTTCTTAAAACATCCCATAGAAGATAACATTACACCAGCCCAGTGCTCTGCCCTGACATTGTTTCGGTTCTCTACAATTTTTTGCTTGATAGTCTTTGTGCCATATTTACTATCTCCTAATTATTTTAGTCTTCTTGAACTTTCTGTTACTTTTACTGTGTATCTCAAAACTTTTTCCTTTGTAGGAATTCTCTCTCCATTGTGTCTATTATGATCCTTTGCTATACTTTATCTTTTTCTTACCTGGTTTTCTATTCTTTGGGTATCTTCTATAATAAGCTGCCTTTGTATATTTTGAAGCTACTCTATAAGGTTTATTTGCCCCTTGTTCTTTACCACTAGGGATTTGCATTTCTTCCCTTTTCACATAGTTCAAGGGCTAGACGTTTATTTCTACCCACCCATCTTCCTTCCCCCTATACTGGGAACCTGAATAATTTGGAGCAGGATTGTAATTTTTCTCTTGGGGGAAATGTTGGTGACCTGGATTCTGTTCTCTTCTGAGATCTTTTTAATGCTGCATTGCAGAACTCAGGGATGCCCATGCCTATGAAATTTATGCTGAGTTCACCAGCCAAACAGATCAGACAAATAGAAGGGGCCACCAAGCCTTGGCAAGCCTCTGCTGGGTTCTGTAGTGCTATGAAAGAGCTTCTGTTCTTATAATTTTTCCCATAACTCCTCTATTGGAGGATAGGGGTTCTTATTAGCTAGAAGGATTTAAGATTTTTAAATTTCTAACAGCTTCTGTGCTCCAAGGCAAGAAAAAAATGCCAATGTAAAAGAAATTTTAGTTCTTTGGTTATACATTTTTAAAGTTAAGCTTGAGGACATAACCCTTTTCGATACTGGTTGCTACAATTCTGGTTTTCTTTTAAATAACATTTTTCCAAAAACTACATTGGCTACTAGGATCTGGATTCTTCAGGTTTACCATTCTGCCTTTTCAGTAATATTTTGGTGGGAATGCAGACGTAATTACTTTACATCAACAGTTAGTAATGTAGGGACTTCCTGGTAGCAGAAGGGGCTAAAAGCTCCAACACTAAGAAGCTATCTGCAGCACTAGTTTGTTCCCAGGCCAGGGAGCTGACCCACATGGCACAGCAGACCTCTCCTGTCTCACCCGCTACTTCCCTCAGCAGTGTATTTTAGTAGGATCTGCCTGTTCTGCTCCCCACTCTCGCCATCACACCCCTAGCCTACACATTAAAGTTCTCTAAAACCTCTTGTATGTATAAATAAATGTTAAAAGGATATTTTTTAACTTTCAGGAGTTTGCAAACCAAAGCTGATCAGCAAATCCAACAACAGGAAATCTAAGTCTCCTATCCCTGGGCAAGGCTATTTAGGAACTGAACGTCCCTCTTCAGTCTCCTCTGTACATTCAGAAGGAGATTACCACAGGCAGACACCAGGATGGGCCTGGGAAGATAGGCCCTCTTCAACAGGTAAGGAAGATACGGTCTTACTGTTACAAATTCTCTTTTTTGTCTATGGCTTAGTATTTCTGAAAACCAGAAATTTTGTTTAGAAAACTCTATTTCCACTGCTGTTATTTAAAGGTTTCATATTCCAGAATAGAAACTGAATGCAAAGGAAGAGCTATAGTAAAACATGTCATCTACTCCCCTTGCTTCTGTATTATGTTGGTAGTCAATATTTGCTGTTTGTAACATGAGTGAGTCAGTGGTTTCTGTTTCATGAACTGTACCCCAGTGTGGGAGCTTCAAGACTTTAGCCATTTCCAGAGAAAGTAGCTATGTCTGTACAAACTAACAAAAAATAGTACTGTAAGTTATTTTACTAAGCTTTCCATGTGTATGTGTGCTGTTTGTAAGCAGTAAGTTAATGAAACAAAACTGGGATATTTGCTATGAGCTTCTCATGTCACATGCAAAACAGGCATTTGAAAATTTCTAATCTAATAACTGATTAACTAACTTGATGAAATGCAGTTTTTGTTCAAGTTAGCCTTGTGACACTATCTCCTCATCTTGTATTAGCAAACAAGCTCATGATAATGTAAACCTAATTTTTTTTTTGTCAGGCTCAACTCAGTTTCCTTATAACCCCCTGACAATGAGGATGCTCAGCAGTACACCGCCAACGCCAATCGCATGTGCCCCCTCTTCTGTGAACCAAGCAGCTCCTCACCAACAGAACAGGATCTGGGAGCGCGAGCCTGCCCCGCTGCTCTCAGCACAGTATGAGACGCTGTCGGACAGTGACGACTGATCTGCACAGACTAGGGGTCTTTACCGGGTCAGGGTGCAGGAGCGGGATGTCTGGTTAGTGGTGGTTTTATTTTCAATTGCTAGTCAAAAACTTGTCTCCATGACTGGTGCCCAGAGACTTTTCAGAAGAGCCTGGACCACGGATGGTGAAGAAATGACGGAAATTTATTTGGAGAGTCAAATGGGGGTGGGGTGGGGGGCTGCCTTTGAGACAGGCAATTCAGTGGATTATAATAATAGTGGAGGGCTGAAATGTAGAGTTTTTAAAAAGTGGACAATTCCTGTTCTTACATCTGTTTGTAAAGAAAACCATAATGTCTTTAAATCACTCTTCTGTAAATAGATTACCTTTTTTGCAGTGTTTCCCCTTGCTGTAGTATCTGGTGTACTTATGTTCAAATCAGCGCATCAACTCTGGGGATAAATTTTTAAAGATCTTTTCGTCTTTATAACCCTTGCCTTCTAAACAACCTCACACAGCCCAGCTACATATGTTGGCTGTCATGGGCATTTGTACTTTTACGCAATTTTGTTTCTTCTAAATTCAGCTTCCTGGTGATGTTTAAGATCTTGTGGAAATGTTTAGATTTTACCACAGACCCTGTCAAAAATCTGTACATTAACATATTACAGTCAAAAGGTAGGAGGAAAGAATTCTGCCATATTGTAAATTTCCAGTGCAGGCTTTACTTTTTTAAATTAATAGCACTGAAAAAAATATTACTGCATGGGTATGTTATAGACCATTTCTCAAGTTTGAAAGGCTTATTTGAGGCATACCTCACTGTTATGCACACTGGTAACTGAACCATGCCCAAATATTCTTTTTCTCCTGCATCTGACTGCAGCCCAACAAAGCGTTTGTTTTGAAATAAATTTGACAACCCTGTCCACAGCAACAATAGGTTATTTGTGATTTCAGGCTCTTGGTGTTATAGTTTCAAAGATAAAAGTAATATATTACTGGCTGAGTTAGGCATGTGTGTATAGCACCTCAGTATTTTTTTTTAGGTCTGCTTTGTGCTGCACGGCCAGCACACAGTCCTTTTTATGTGCCATTTTTCTGTGTGAGCAATTTTATGGGCTGTTTTTGCTTTACTGAATCTCCAGGAACAGATAATTTAAAACTAATTATGGTACAAAAGGATTAGTTTATCTTTCATTAATAGTAGCTAGCTTGCTGAATTTTTAAGTATATACAACATAAGCATTGCCTTGATACACCCTTCCACAATATATAATTAATGATTTGGGGAGAAATCAGTGTTTCTCACACAATAAAGTTGCCTGCTGTGTAGACTTGAAACTTTAAAAAAGTACTCAAGCCTCCAAAGGAAACAGCTCTATAACTTACCATTCCTTTGTAATGAATATTTCATGTTTGTCTGAGATCCACAAGTCACACTGGAATCTAACCCTTTTTTAAAGAGAAGGACACAGGCTCAATACTTCACCTTTCTCATTTATCTATGAACTGTCACCTTACTGTGTGAATTTAAAGTCTTTACTTCTGTTACTGTTCCACTCGTCTACACTTAGGGTCCTCTAGAAGTAAACCTTAGATGAGCTTTAGGAGTCCTCCTACTTGGAAATTGTATAAACTAAATGTTCTACTTGAGCTTTTGCTGAAATTTTTTTTTTCTTCAGATATGGGTGATAGTTTGTTGATAATGACCCAGACAATGGTACTATCTGTAACTCAGAGGGTCTGTCTTAAAAGCTACTTCAAGTCATAATAGTTTTTGAGACAGTGTGAGTGAGATGAGAGCCTAACCTGTTGGTTTTGCATTCTCATGTGAGGATCCCAAGGTGAATGGCTGTAAATCATTCACTCATCACAATGTATGTGTGTCTTTTTCTACTGTAACCCAGAGAAGAGGTTTCAGAATAGAGATGAAATCCACGATATCTCCTAGTTTAGAAGAGTGAAAGAGAATTCTCACATGGCTTACCTACAGAGGAAAACCATCTGGTGGGGTCCACGTTTGCAAGACTGAAATGGCAAACAGCACTGCCGGTGATGACTTGAGGTTGGCTGTAAATCAAGGCACAATCCTCTTTGCAGGCTGAGACTGCAGTGTTCCGATGGTATATCCTTATGCATGATGTTTTTAGCACGAAGATCTAAATTAAGGTCTTCCTAACTATTCACAGAAATACTGACAGTCAAATACTTATGACAGCAAGTTTTATGATGCTTTGAGTATGCCTAGTTTCTATCAGTATTTTTAAAAATATACACTTAAAACTCTAGTGATAGCATTCATAAATTTACTTTTTAACAGTTCAGTTTGAATTCAGACATATAAAGGGTGTCAGTCCTGCTTTGCTACTATGCACCCACATGAAGAAAGATTCTTTCTGAAAACTAATTTTTCCAGCACTGGGGCCATGAACTGAATCATTTTAAAGGATCAAAAATTCTTAAGCCTGGAGTGAAAAGTCTTTCAGTAGTTCCTGCAATTGTGAAAAGGTAAAAACATTCTCATTGTAAAAGGTGAGTAATGGATAAAAAAAGTACATTATGACTTGGTTGCACTAAATTTGATTTATAGTTTCAATGATTAGACAAAGTAATCTGCAAAATATAAAATTACAGTTTTATTCTAATCCCTGAGCTTCTGGATCTTCAGGCTTATTTACATTAACTCTTTAGTAAAGTTTCTTTTTATGAGAAACTCAAAAGATTATGGAATACATTCAATGTTGTTATAGTCTCTAGTTTATTATGAAAGGATTCTTCCAATATGTACACAGGAGCCAGAACTGTCAGTCCCACTTAAAGCCCCCAAAGGCATATCAACCATAACAATGTTCCTTCACAGTATCTGAAAAGTTGCAAGACGGCTGAGGTAAGAACATCCACCTATGTACCTTATATTTATATTCTTTGAGGCAGTGTATTCACTTAGTCATCTGACCAAGTAACTTTTCCCATTTGTTCCTTAATTTTATAGATGAGGATAATGAGACCCAAACTCAAAAAACAAGAACTAGGATCCAGGTCATTAACTCTTCTGAATCAACAGTACCTAACAGACTTAATAGAGAAGCATTAAATATATTTGTAGGGCCCTACTATCCATAAGTCAAAAGATTTGAAGTAGAATCTGGGTATATGTATCTATAAAGAGCTCCTCACATGACTTACTCTCCCTAGGTTGCAAAGGAAGTTGAGTGCTCAGACAGAATTGACGACATAGTTGTACATAACCATATATGTACAAGTGACTTTTAAATGAGTACTCCCCTTTCAAGTGAGTAATTTTCACTTAAAATTTTATGCAGCAGGCAAAGTAAGATATTACTGTTCTTCTTTTATGCATTAATATCATAGTGGGTTTCATTAAATAATTATAAGAAAAGTAACTCACCATAATCCCCCTTTGTCATGAGACAGGTAGCTCTGGTCTTCCAGATATTGAAAAAATAAGAAAAAAGAAGGTAGCAAATCAGTGGACCAAAATCTCATGGTAGAGACTCCTGGCTGAATTACCATACACCCACTCCAAGGGAAAACTGGCCCCTTCTTAATCTATATACTTATAGACCTATATATCTAGACCAGCACAGAACGTACATCACAAATGAAAAGCGTCACTTGACAAATTTGTCCTTAGAAGGCAAAATAAGCTGGGAGTGAAAGTTGTTTTTCCTTTAAAAGTGGCAGTCTAAGGTGAAGAAACTTGAACATTAAAGACAAAAGGATTTAAGTCACTGATTTGAGGGCTACTGACACTAGAATAGCTATTACTAGAAATGCCTTTCAACAAAAAAGGGGTTTACAGTTTGACATAATTAAGTTAAAGTACTTTTTCTTGATAACTCAGCCAACTCTTCCCTGATGTGCTGTATAGAAACCTCATCTCTCTTCAGCTCTGCTTGCTTCAGTGCTTCCTGGTAGATCTCCTTTGCTTGTGCATATCGTTCTAAAATAACCCAAAAGAAAAAGTAGTAAATGAAGGTTGTCAAGGTAGCTCAAAAGAGAAAGCATTAGTGGGGCAGGGGTTAAAGTCTCAGTACTGCCAAGCCATCACTAGCCTAGGAGCTGACCCAGATGGTGCAGCAGCCCTCTTCTTGTCTCAGACCTCAGTTAATGAATGCATAAATAAATCTTAAAAATAAGAGAAAGCGGCCCTCCTTGGTGGCACAGCGGGTTAAAGCACAGCACTGAGAATCTAAAGCCGCTTCCACATGCATGAGTTCGATTCCCGCCTGCCCCGGAGGTGACCACATGGCGTGGCAGACCTCTCCTGACCTGCCCGCTGCTCCCCTCAGCAGTGTACTTCGTCGATCTGCCTGTTCTGCTCCCCACTCTATCGCTGGTGAAGTCTTTCACCACCCCTGAGTCTCTGACCTGTACCCCAGTTCTATATGCACAAATAAATCTTTAAATAAGAAGAGAAAGTGCTAGTGACAGTACAGCTGATGCTACCTTATTTCATCCCCATGTGACAGGTCTGCCTAAGCACAGAGCTCCAACCCAGGGGGTACCATGGCATTCTTAACTTTTCTGATAGACCCCAGGGCCCCATTCCATTAACCAAATAAATCTGTAAAACTGATAAGCCATTACACTGTGAGGCACAAGTTAAACTGTACATGTGTAAACATTTTGAAATCTCCAGCACAAGAAAAAGGTATTATCACTAAGTTTTCTCTAGCTTGTGGTTCTGCAGGCTAGTGCAGGATTATTTAAGTCAGTTTTTAGGACATTGGTACTTAACCCAAACACACATCCTTTTTCTACCCTCATTGCCCCTTGCCCTAAAGCAAGTCAATAAAGTTTCCGTTATTTCCTACCTCTGTGCATCAGAATTGCAGCTAGGTTACTGAGCAGCATGTGTAGTTCGGGATGTTCTATCTGTCTTGCCAGGTCAGATGCTTTCTGCACATAAACACAGGCCTCATCAAAGCGGCCCTGTGCATCCAAGGTAGTGGCCAGATCACTCATCAGCACAATGGTCTATACACATAAGAAAAAAACAAGAGACCTTTTCTTAAACACACCTATAGAGATTTACTATTATTTTGAGGTTGGACAAACTCAATATTGTCCTATGATTCCATCTTACTCCCCAGCCTTTAACAAATGATGTGAATTTATCATTCACATTGTTGAATGTACATTCACTTGACTATAGAGTGACACAGATCTAGAAACCGGGGAACAGGATATTACCTGTTAACTCAATTATGAAATTGCAAGAACCAAGGGAAATATAAAAGCAAAACGACACAATGGCTCTGTTGCTTAAAGTTCAGCAATCTTGGAAAGCCAGCTCCTGAGGCCTTATTGAACTATAATGTCAGAGTCCCATTACAAATTTTTAAAATCCTGGTACTAAAAGGGGAAGGTTTCCATACCATCTTCCCCACATGAACCCCCAATACACATTTGGTGATAAAAATTCCATTTGTTATCTTACTATTTTTCAGTAAAGGGGCACAAAATCCTTTACTTGAAAATAATTAATTGTCCAAAGTGCTTTTTCTTACTTATGAACTTGTCATCTACCCAAGTCCTGTTTAGTCCAATTAAGATTCTGTGTCCTAGTTTGGAGGTACCAAGCATTCATACACAAAACAATCCATTTCTTACCTCTGACAGAATATGAAATACAAAGAAATGAAATTAACTCAATGTTTAATGAATGGACTCATAGAAAACTTTGCATGATATGCTTAAGTTCTGTCAGTGGTTTTAATTTTTTTTTTTAAATGCAGTCCCCCCTTCCTGCCTCTTCCTCCACCCAGTTGGCATCTTACCTGTGGGGTGAGCAAGGCAATTCAATATTCCAAAATACCAAATCTATAAAGTCTTCCAAAGCAGGTGCCTCAATAGACCTGCCTTTTAGAAAGGCTATTCTAATGTTTAAGTCATGGCTTTTGCAAATTGATCAGTCTCAATCCTTTGTAAAGCAAGAAGTCAATTAGAGGTTACAAGAGAAGTGGTAGGAATATAAGTGGACTAGGTGAGCACAAGATAAGAACACATTTAGGACTATCTGCTAATTATTTTCTATTGAATGTGGCATTTCTCACCCGTAAATTTTTTAAACCTTTATTTTATAATCCTCCTTAATGTCTTCTTCCCTTACCTGTGGGTGTCTTTCTCCTAGTATTTCTTCAGAAATTTGTAAAGCTTTTTCGTACATCCTCTGTGCCTGTGATGGCTGCTTGGAAAACAGAAGGTAGCGAGCATAGGCATCTAAGCACATGCCAAGGAGGAGGTGGGTATTGGCTTTCTCATCCACTATGAAGAAAATAAAAGCAGTGCTAGGATATAACAAGTACAATAAATGAGGCCCGAGTCATTTTTTACTACAAAGACCATCAAATATTTGAACAGTATAAAACCCACTGAATGTGTCATGTAAAAGATACCGCTAACCTCGGTTACATAAAGGTGACAATTTTCCAATTAAAAGACATACCCAAACTTTCTAGAATCTTGGAATTTTCCCCCACAAAATTTAATAAAAGGCACAGCTAAAAAATGAAGATGATAAATCAGTTCAAACAGAAGTCCAGCAGGAGAATAATTTACAACAAAATACTGTACAAATACTAAAATTCATTTGAGAGTATTTAAAAATGAATGTTTACCATAAACCAAAAATGTCACAGAACATGATGTGTAATTATTCCAATTCAGGAAGGTATGCTCTAAAAATGCCAAAATGTATTTTTGGAGATTTGTGTTACTGTAAATATTTCTAGATCTTAAGACAACTCTTTTACATTTTATAATTGGAAAACACATTCATTACCTGTAACTCAAAAACACAAGAATAAGGTGCTGGTAATCCTAGTAAAAAATTATTGATCTCAGTAATGGACATTAATTAGAACGGAAGACAGTAAATCTTTTAGAAAGAATAATAGAGGTAAAAATTTTAGCTGTTTTTTCACTAAGTATTTTAAAATATAGTTTAAATTCATTTGACCATCAAAGTTTTTTTTTTTTTTAAATATACTTCTCTAAAAATAGCATTATGGGAGAAAAAGATTCTATCTTAAAACCTTCAGGTACAGCCAAGAGAAAATTTCATAGTATTAATAAAGAACCAAACAGTCCTGGCCCTCCCTGGTGGCGCAGCGGGTTAAAGCAAAGCACTAAGAAGCTAAAGCCACTTCTGCATGAGTTCAATTTCCGCCTGCCCTGGAGGTGACCACATGGCGCGGTAGACCTCTCCTGACCTGCCTGCTGCTCCCCACTCTGTCTCTGGTGAAGCCTCTCGCCGCCCCTGAGCCTCTGGCCTGTACCCCAGTTCTGTATGTACAAATAAATAAATCTTAAAAAAAAAAAAAGAACCAGTCCCTTTTCCAAGTGATAACATTTTGAAAAGTTCTGAAATATAATTACAAAAATTTCTAGAAATTAGCCTAATAAAAGATGAAAAAAATGAGTCATGTTTATACAAAGCTTATTTATACCTTTAGGATTGAGGCTGAAAGGGCATATTTATCTCCAAATTTTAATTAAAAATTGTCCCCAAATACTTCTAATCTGAGAAAAAAGATGAGCTATCTAAAATCAGTCCATGCAGCAAACAAGATTACAGAAATTTTTATTCCAAATACTAACAAGCAGAATTTTCAAATGCACCAAGGGTATCACCACCACATGGCATTTAATCCAGAAATATGATAGTAGCTCAGCATGTCAAATTAAGCTTGCATAAAGATAGACTAAAAAGCAAACTGATAAAAGCACTGGAGCAATTTTACATATTTTAAAAACTTTCAAAAAGGGACATTCCATGTATAAGAAACAGCATCTAATTCAGGGAAGTTTGAGTACAGGAATCTATCAACCCCATGAACTTCCTACACACCCTTACCACCAAATAACCTAGGAAAGTCTACAAGGGTCTTTTCAGACTAAAAATATGTACAAGCTAAGTTCCAGAAATGTCCTACAACTTCTGCTAAGCTTTATTTCTCACTAGCTAGGCATTAATCCCAGGAGCACTTTCTGAGCAAAGGAGTAAAGCAAAATCTGAACTAAGGCTTCTGGTTCCAGTAATGTGGTTGATAATCTGAAAACCTTCTGCTTCAAGCCTTGTAACAAAGATCCTTTTACATGCACAGCTGAGCTACAGGTCATAAATTAGGGGTAAGCTAAAACCCAATGTAAAAAAGTATGTGAGTTAACATAGCAAAAGTCCAGCATCTGTAGATTTTGTGGGATAGTCTCTCTAATCCAGAATTGAGGCCTTCAATTTGTACAGAAACAATGAACTAGATCCGAAACTTAAAAGGATGCTTGTCCTGGTTATAGGGTACAACCTCAAGAAAAGAATGAATTAGAATATTTATGCCATGTCTCCACTTGCCCTTTACCCTGCTCTTTCCAACTTCACCTCCCACCCCCCAAAACCCCAAGAAATTATAAGTAGCCAAGTCTGGCATCTAGATGGGAAAAATGACTACCAAGGAAATTTGTGCAGTGCTACACGCTATGCTAATTTCATACCATTTATTTAGGCCTGAGTACCTGGAAGAAAGAAAAACCATTCTGGAATCTCATCTTACATAAACCCTGCTGAAAAGTAAATAGGAAAATTTATCATAAATGAGAGTCAGGAGACAATTAAAAGAGGAGGCCTTGTCTTCAAGAATCTTAGCTAACTGAAAAACCCCAGGTTACACACTATGTAGCTTTGAAGTACCTATATGTATTGAGTTGTCAGAAAAGTCATCATGCATTTTTGCTTGAAAACCAGAAAAAATACATCATGACTTTTCAGCCCAGTATGTGCAGTATTCTCCACATCAGAGCCTTGCTGTCTCATGTCCATCTTTATAATTTCCTATTCTCAGACATTGTCACTTGGCTTATTAACTCCCACTCTATGGGTTTCCTATCAATTAGGCCTTCCCTAAACCCTCTATAATATAGCATACTGCTCCAAAGTATTCCCTCAAATACATCACATTTAATCTTTTCTGGACACAACAATTTACTGGACAGTATCGTATGTTTTTTCCTCCACTAGAAATTTAGCTTCATGAGGCAGCAACTATTTATAGCTCTCATCTTAGTTTCTAGTACTATGTCTGGCATACAACAGGCATTCAGTATTTCTTTACAGAACAGCTAAATGATTAATTAAAAACATGCAAGTATCAAACTATGGTAAAGATATAATGAATTAAAAATTTCTGTTACAGAATTAAACAGCAGCAGCACGTCATATATCTATGAGAACTTAACAGTGATATTACAAATTAGTGCTTAAAGGATAGATCAGTGAAACAAGTTCTGAGCAACTGGCTGTCCACGAGAGACATTGAAATTGATTACTCATACCACATTAAAAACAAATGCCAGTGAAATGAAGACTAAATGTAAAAACAAAGCCAACAATCTATGAGTATTCTTCTGTCCTTTGAATAAAGAATGTTACTAAATAAAGCACAAACTATAACAGAATATATCAAGATTCTCTTATGTTTTAACCTGTCAAATATTCTAAAATGAGAAGACAAGGCCACAAAAAGATGTAACTTACAGAATTTAAGATATTCAAGTTCATAAAGGACTCTTGCAAATCTTAAGAAAATCCTTCAAAAATATAAGTATACAGACAAATTTCAAAGCAGGAAATGTGGGCAATAAATTCATGAAAAGATGTTCAACTTCTCTAGCAATCAGAGAAAAATATGAAACTCCCACTTCAAACCCACTAGAACATCAAGTTTAAATCTAACACAAGCAAAGATACAGAGCAACAGGAACACTAATAATATTGCTAGGGAAAATGTAAACTGTTAAAACCATGCTGGATAAGCAATTTGGTCACATCTATTGTATGATGCACCCAAATTTTCACTCTTAGGTACTACCCAAGGAAATAAATTATGTATGTGTATACAAGAGACACAGACCCAAGAATATTCAGTGAATAATTTTTTCCACAGGAATACAATTTTCCTCTTCACCAACAGGGGAACTATGTTATCATTACACAATGTAATAGCAAATAACTCCCAAGTTCCAACAATCAGAACCTCAGGCTCTCTGGGGTATATTAACACTATGAGGGATTCCAATGAGATTGAAAGAGGCCAGAATGTGGACTACCTGAACAGGTACAGAGTACTTGGACTGACAAACAAGGCCACTTACAGTCTGTTTTCATTCCTTGTAAGGGTGGAAAACAGACTTCACATCTCCACATCTCACCCCTGTGGGTTACTGAGAGGAAGTCACCCCTTCTAAACAGATGCACCCCAGCAGACACATGTGGTTTGACAAGCAAACAGAGCCTTTGTGTTAGGAAAAGCGAATAAATCTCAACATGAGAAAAAAATTACAGAAACAACTGTGTAATATCATTCACCTAAAAATTTTTTAAATCCATATTATTTGTTTATACTGTAATAAATAGACATATGAATAATAGAAATCAAACCCAAATTCAGGATAATTGCACAGCAGGGGTACACAATTTTTGAATTTACAAAACCAATTTTGAAGCACATACGGTAAAATAATTTGACCAAGTGAAAGGGAAGATATTCAGGCATTTGTTAGTCTCCATGCTATTTTTTTGCTTGAAATTAAAGGAAAGAAAAAAAAAAAGCTCAGAAGAAAAAAGCACAGTACTGACTTCTTAATAATGAACATTATACTGGGGAAAACTCCCCAAATAACTGAGGAAGGAGTGATAAATATAAAAAATAGAGATGAAAAGGGCTAACACGCAGGTAAATGTTGTAGTTGAATAAAAGGCCACAGCAGGACAAACAGAAATAAAAGATACACTATAGAAGCTCAGGAGAAGTGGCTCTTAAGGAAGTTTATCACAGATCAGGCAAAATTCACAGAGCCTAATCCCTAACTGATAAAACTTGATTCCTACAAAGCAATCAGACAAGAGAAGATAGCCTATCTATAAAAGGCGGCAAATAAGTTTGCTTTAGTATCTTGTGTAATAAATTATGAGATCTGAAATTCCAGATCAGGGAGGAAAAACTGGGGAAGGTAGAAGATGCTAAACTGTATGCATCTTATCTTAAATAAACTGAAAATCGAAATGCTTTTTTCCAAATATGTTTTGAAGAAATGTTTAAGTTATCCCTAACAAAATTAAGAAAGCCATATGTATATCTTCTTTCCAAAATATAAGGTGATTAATGAGGAAAAAACTCCCAAGTACTGGCCCTCCCTGGTGGCGCAGCGGGTTAAAGCACAATACTAAGAAACTAAAGGCACTTCAGCATGAGTTTGATCCCCACCCCAGA